AAAAAAAAAAAAAAAAAAAAAAAAACGAAAAATAATAAATAGCACAATAAGATAACTCAATATCATAAGGATAGTATATTAATCTCGGTTATAGTTTATAATTGTAAAAAAAATTTAGATTGATTAGAATAATTAAACCATGGTTGGTAGATCATATGGATTTTCCCGAATTTATAATACATTTGTAATTTGTCAGATGGAATTATGATCGTGTGAAAAATAACTACATAAGTAAGGGATACTGTACTTTCAAGAATATTCTAAAATTATATTATTAATTATAATATTCTAAAATTATATTTTAGTCATTCTATTTATTGGATATTTAATTGCAGTTGTAAACGTTTAATGAGAAGGAAGATTTAAGAATTGATCACACGTGATTCAGCAAGCTCAGTTGTGGCTCAGTTATTCAAGAAGGATCAACGGAACCACAAAGGCTATAACCCAATGACAAGGGCAAGTAGGTCGTACGTTTATGAACCTTTTTTATTATTTCTTTTTAACTGAATGCTTCTTTACAGTGGGCTCGAAACACTGAAAGAATATCCCCTTTTTTATATATTTTACATATAAAAACATATGAAATTTGAGGATAATGCCTTTATTGCTACTTTCGGACCACTGATGCTGCTTTTATTGCTACTAGCTGACTTAAGCTGCATCGATTTTCTTAAATTAAATTTTCGATAATTATATTACAGATATTTCATAATTAGAATGGGAATTTTTATATATTTTCATTTTTAAAAAATGCATTGTACACAATATTCATTATAATATTTAGTAAATGAAACAAATCTCTGCCTAAGTTTATTATAAAAATATGAATTTATATAAACATCCATAGCCTACTCATAAAGACTGAACATCCTGGAATTTTTTGTATGATAATTTATTAACTAATTATATTAAATCAAGAGGTTACAAATTGTAAGTTATAAACTTCTTCTTATAAACTTTACAATTTTACTTCACATTAAATAATAACATGACTGCAAAATTTAGTTGTAGGAAAAGATTTATTTCAATACTGGTAACTTGTGACTTGTAAAGGATTAATAATATTAGTTCAGTATCATAATAATAGAAAAACAATAACGGAAAGAAGAATCAATAGGTAATTGACAACATAGAACTTTCGATTTTAAAATCAAAAAATGAATATTATGATACAAACTTTTCCCACACTAGAGGAAAAGTCAACGTCCGAAGACGGCTCAAGAGAGGAAAATCTAAGAAAATTGTGGCATTATTTATTACGTAAACCTGTGGAAACGTTTCTAACAAGTAGTTTCCTTGTGCATTAAGAAAAATATCAGAAAAGTTTGCTGTAAGTAAAGTAAGTTCATTGACCGAAATCAGGAAAAATGCTTTTAGCGAAGAAAAAAAAAAAA